CCGTATGATACACGAGTATGCATTGTTATTGGTCGCAGAATACAATTTTTGAAGTAATAATTTTCTATCGTTTGTCGTCTAGCAAAGACTTTAAATCTATAAATCCTAGAAAAAAACAGGAAATGTACATACTGTACTAGACTGACTAGCCATGTAGGAGTATTAATTTATGTCCTTGACCATTGTCCATTATTTGATATTTACTTGTCGGCATTAATTATGAGTTCGTACTTCGTCAATATGTCCAAAATGTAAACAACATATGGAGACAGAAATCAATAAGAGCGGAAACATTTTTTTTTTGGTGGGCATAAGAGCGGAAACATTAAGTACTCCATTTGATAAGATGTGATGATTGAAAGAAGGGTACCCTTGAAAGAAAGGTGGAAGACTAGAACACTCATTTACCAAAGTTTATTATTTAAGATTTAAGTGTGGTTTTGTAAAAACAAACTTGTCGCTCCCATATATATATACCCGCAAAACTCGATCCTCCCATTTCAAGTTCAGTCTTTTCGGATGATCGTTTATACAATATGAATTCCTCACTTTTCACGCTTGATAGTGACATCCTCCGAACATGATTTCTGTCACAGAATTGATAAAACTTAGACAAACAGCTTCTCTCCACCTAAAGTTCCTATAGACTGAACCATTCTATCATACACACGCCAAGCCAATTCTTCTTTAGTATCTATGTTGGCTGTATTCTTTCTCTTTTTGTAAAAAAATCTTCGAATCACGAGGTTTATTTTGTATTATCTTTTTTTTTTCTATCACATGAGTTCTTTTTTTTAGGTTGCTTGTAGTTTTACAATTGTGTATAGTTTGAAAGCAATATATGATTATATGATATATCTTTCCAATATTATAAAAACATGTATATAATACAATTCTTTTGGTAAACTTATTTCCATAGGCCATAAGATCATGTACGCTATCTTTAACAAAACAAAAGATCATGTAAATTATGTAATACAGAAAAAAGAGAGTTCGGCTTCATTCATTGAAAACCTTGGGCCAGAGATTCTGCTGGCTTGTAACTGAAGTACAAGAAGGGAGAGAGATCGAGTGGTACGTTACTAAATTTTATGACGAATATATGCTGATCTAACGGCCATGATTCATTTGCTTCGAACTTTGCTTACCGTCTTCAGCTTTTTAATTTCTTATCTTTTGAGATAATCAAACGTTTCGTAAGCACGTTCTAAAGAAAACAAAGTTTTTCTTAGCACACGCACCACGTGTAAGTTGTAACTCATTTATTTCACAAAAAGTTGAAATTAGTTTGCGTATAATAAGGCGAGTTTTTAGTGTTTTATTTTGTGTAATTCTCGTAAGTAATTCGATGATATCAAAGTGAATGAAAGCTAAGTAGCTAACGCAGAACATTGTCGTCTTGTAGACTTGTGGCCTTGTGGGGTGCGCAGTAATGCATTGCAATAATTTCTACTCTTTTAAGGTAATTGTGTTATTACATTACACAACGACACACGAGCCCCGCCATTAACGTAAATCATTTTTGTTTCTACTTTTTGCTTGCTCTTAAATGTACAATTTTAGCTTACAATGTTTTCCCTCTTGATTTCACTTGTCCTCTACTATAATGAAGGCTTGAAGCATCTCAATTTACACCGACATGCACGTGTGGTTTACAACATTTAAATGATTGCAGCTATGTGTATTAATCTGTTTGGCAAAAACAACAACTATATGTATTAGTTTTCACTCTATAAGGATGTATTATAGAAAATATTTATTTATAATTACTGATCAACATAGTAATATATGTTCACAAACACCCAAAATAAAATATAAAAAAAGTGTATTCTAGCTTATACTACTACCTAAATTTGGTTTAAAAGAAAATGACCAAATAAATCTGACATAATTGAGTCAGCAGATGTCTCTTGTAATACAGTAAAATAAGTAGGCTAGCGGAGAAGAGAGTAAATTAATAAAACGGCTAGAAAGAAAAGCCGTTTTTTTCCTCTTTATTATCTCTATAAAGTCTCCTTCATGCACCAACCAAAAATCCCATCTTTGAGACACTAAAAAGGAAAGACAAAATTTTCTCTTCAATATTAAGTCTCCGTAGGAAGGTTCTCAGAAATAGTGAGATAAAAAAAATTACAGCTTTCCCGAGAAGAAAATAGTTGAAATTCCCCAAACGTCCAGAAACTCCTCTGATCAACCAAACAATATTCTACAAAAACTGAAACTTCCCGAGAAAAAAAGAGAGAAGAATCAGATCTGAGAAAAACAATGTGTCTGGTGTGTCTATGCGATGAGGAAGAGACGGAGTTAGGGAGACAACAAGCACCTGGTTCGTGTCCGTACTGTGGAGGTAAAGTGCAAATGCTTGATGTCGAAAGAAAATGGATGTTTTGTTTCGTTCCTCTTTGTTTCAAGATCAAGAGGAAGTATCTGTGTTCGTCTTGCGATCGTCGTCTGGTTTTGTATCATTAAAATGATATTGTAATTTTGATAATAAAAGTAAATCAAGTAGCGTTTTAATTAAGGATCATAGCCCTTCAAAAACAAGTTTAAACAAAAATTAAGGATCATAATTTTAGTCGGTGGTTTTTGGTACGTTTAGTATATCTGTTATGTAAACCGACATTGATCTTTAGAAATAAGAACTCTCTTCTTGAGGATGTTCAAGTATGATGTACTTTTCTTTTGTCTTCGAGCGTCTTCTTAGTTCTTAAGTCGGTCAAAATTACATATAACTGAATATTAAATGTAATGCTGTTTTAAATTAAAAAAGTGAAACTCAATTGCATTCCAGTTTTCATTTTCGGTCGTGTAGAAAATAAACAAATAATTACAATTTTGCATGCAAGTACGGGTGTCAATCTTACCTCTCGTCTCCAATAGATGTGGTTTTCGATCGGTGCAGTACTAAGTTCTTGTCATCTGGCAAGTTAAAATCACCATAAGAACAAGAAGAAAAAAAGTCGGCAAAAATGGACTAAATATTGCGGTCCAAAAATAATGGATTTGATCAAATGTGCTGTAAATGGGTGGATATTTTTTACGTTAACAAAATTACTGTTTCAGAAAATTTATCATTAATTCAACCCATTAGCATGATTAATGCGCTCGTAATATATTGTTAGTTTGTCACTTTAGCATTAAAATTAACCATTCAAATAAAATTGAACATAGCTTTTTTCTTTTTGTCTGCTGAACATAGCTATGTTTGTCTATTCGAATCCCTTTATCACTAAATTTGTTTTTACGGTTTTACCTACAATATAATGAGTAGATCAGTCGAACCTAAACTTTTCAATCATATTTAACATATCTTATCAGTTAAAACATCATCGTCTATTTGCAATCTAGCATGTATATTTTAGTATAGCTCACATTCACAAGTTGGTCTAATTATTGACCGGTACGAATCTTATCATATAAATATATAATATGGAAATAGTTTAAGAAACAAATAAAGATTCAGTTGTGATGCTTAAGTAATTCTTGCTCGTGACCTTTTCATGAGACGGAGAGAGAAAAAGATCACAACTGATTCGGTCACATGCAATATGACATCAGTGTTCAGTGATTTATGTTGTTTTTTAGTCAGAACTGAAACTGTATTTTCTGAACGATTCAAAAACAAATTAAATGCAGGGAAAAGGAGAGAACATATCTCTTTTTTTTTGGGGTTATAAACAGCTCTTATCTCATACTACTACATAAAAAGAGAAACAGCTCTTATCTCTATATTTATGTAAATGTCTAAATGATAGCTTATACGAATTCTTTTGTTTTCTGGTTAACTAGAGAACTCAGTATAAATATTATGGTTAGCTTGAAAAGAAATAAGTATGTATATCTTTTTATTAGTCAACACCAGTTCAATTTTCACGTTTCTTTTGAAGTATGCTTCGGTTAGAGAATTTCTTTATATAGGGTGTTGAGAAATTTGTGAAGAATCTCTGACTAAAAGGTGTTCAGATACTTGTATATTTTCTAGAGTGTAGACATTTTCAAACTCGTACATGTGAAGAATATTATCTTTATTTAAATAGTTATACGAAGTGGAAGAAGATTTGACATTTACGATCAGGGCAGTTGTCCATATCATTAAACAACTTTCTGTTTGAAAACGTATCATAAACAACACAAGTTTTCTATCATAAACTGATAAACAACGCAACAGTTCTATAGCGATCTCAATCTTAACCACTAGAAATATCATAATTTGGCAAAGGGATTAGTCCGAGCTTTGTTGAAATTTGTAGCACAAACATCGCGATACATTTAGTCAACAGCAACAAACACATTGAAGGAATCAGTAGAGATCCAACAGGCCAACAACAGACTTTATATTACAAAAATCATATCAAATTCACGACACGAGCGCAAAGACCTAATATGATATGAGTAAATCCTAAAAGTAAGAGACCACGAGAACAAATTTTTCTTATTCTTCCAACTTCCAGTTTTAAAAGGTCTTTGTTTCCGTGTTTTGGAACCGCATTTCTCTTCTTATCTTAACCTTAACAAGATACGTACTTACGTAGGCCTCCACATCCTCACGTGTCAACTTTAGTTTGAAAATTTCGGCCTATAGAGTTTTGTTTCAATCTATGAAAATGACCTTTGAACAATGCATTCTAAAAGACAGCCTTTTTGTCCCAGAAAAAATAGTACATTCCGAAATTTACATGTTTAGACCATCGGCCCAAACTTTACAAAGCGAAACATATACAAATACAAAATGTTGTCCATGTCTAAACTCTAAAGTCTAAACCCAACCAATTCTGGCCCAAACACACCAAACGATTGGTCAAAATCTGAAACAAGTTTTTATTTTTGTTTTTCTCCCTTTTCTTTTGTAAAACTCAGTTATGAAACGGGCCGGTTTACATAATCGGGTCGGGTTAAATCTGCCCGCTCCCGGAAAAACCCTAATTTTCCACTAAATCTCGTCCTTTGGTTTGGAACAAATTTTTCTAAGCTCAAATTGAAAGAGGAGCTTCATCATACATATGCCCAAAGCCCTAGCAGAGGAATCTTCTCCGTACACCTTAAACCCAGCCCTCCTAGCTCTTAAGCCTCGTCAAGTCCTGATCTCTTCTACCTCTAGAGCAGATATGGGGGAAGAGAGCAGCAAAGCCTTGACTTTGGAATCTGAGCAGAAGGCTCTTCTTCTCCGTTCGATTGCTCAGTACTTGGAGCGATGTGGGTTCTCCAAGTGCTTCAAGAAATTGCTCTCCGAAGCTGAAATCGAGGTTCGTACATTTGATTCTGATACTCAAATTTTCGATTTTTGGAGAAAAGATCAGAACTTTGTCATTGAACTAGCTGTTGAATTCATTACTATTATCCTTGAATTCACCTAAGGCTACCATGGAATTGCTTATTTCGTTGATACTTCATAAGGATTCTTACATGAATTTGCTCGGTTATTACTGTTTCAGAAGAAGGAATTGAGCAGTGATACTTTACCGGATCTAGAGGAAATGTACAGCGAGTTTTTGAAGAAGAGGTAAGCTTGTATCACCGCTCTATGTCATAGATAACAAGATGTTGCTCATTCGAATTTGGTTACATAACGTTCTCTTGTCAAGTGATTCATATTGAAACTTTTATCAATCTGGCTTCTCGCTTTTCGTTTTCTGTGTAATGTAGCCATGTCGAAGCTGTGGAGGTGAAAGATGAATCAGGAAATGTAGATGAGAAGGCATCTGATGTTCCTGAAAAGGAGAAAGAAGAAGAAAAGAAAGAAGATGTGGTGAATGGGACTGCTGAGGCGAGGGCCATGGAAGGTGTAGAGAAGGTGAAGAAGGAGAAAAAGAAGAAGAAGAAGGAAACAAAGCCTGAGGTAACGGAAGAGGAGGAGGAGAAGGTCAAAGAGACTGATGCCGAGATCGAAGAGGGAAAAGAGAAGAAGAAGAAGAAGAAAAACAAGTCCAAATCTACTGAGGCTGAGTCGTTGGGTGATGAAGATGAGAAAGTGTCCAAGAAGAGGAAAAGATCAGAGCCTGAACAGACAGAAAAACAGACTGAGGAGGATGATGAAGAATCAAAACGTAGGAAGAAGGAAGAGAAGAATGTAGTAGAAGACGACGAGGCTGTTCAGGAAACACCTGTTAAGCAGAGTGACGCTGAGGAGAACGGAAACGTTGTTGAGAAGAGCGAAACGAAATCAACAAATAAGAAGTCAGGAAAAGGGCTTTCCAACTCTAAAGAGGTGAAACCACGTTTGCATCAATTGATATGATTACTGATTGATTGTGTACTTACTGATGCAATCTTTTTGACGCTTATTTTACAGCCGAATAAGCCGTTTCAGAGAGTGATTGTTGAAAAGGTTGAGTTCGTTGACGAAAGGCTTAAAGACAACTCTTATTGGGCAAAGGTTCTATATGATCTCCATTTCTCCCTTCTATAAGCAGTCTTTGTTTTTAGAAGTTGCTTTATTGAAGTTTACTTCTTTGTGTCGTCGTACAGGGTGGTGCTGATATTGGTTATGGTGCTAAAGCTCAAGAGGTTCTAGGGCAAGTCAGAGGAAGGTAAAGCTCCTCAGTCTTTGCTCTAAACTAAAGAAACTGGTTTATGTTTCATTATTTGATCTCTGAATGTTTCGTTTTTGTTTTTGGTTTAGGGGTTTCCGTCATGAGAAGACGAAGAAGAAACGCTTTGCTTATTTCACAATATGTAAACCGTTCCCGAACAAGGGTTCAAGTTTTGACTTTGTTGATGCTCTCGTTTTGAAACTTGTAAGAACATGATTCAGTTTCAATTTCAGCTTCTTGATAGTTTCTAGTTCTACTTCACTATGTGTTAGCAGATAACGTGGTCCAGGAGTGGGCGTTAGGCCTGTAAACTAGTGGGGGTTTGTGCCCATGGTGGCCTGGTTTTAGAAATAAGTTTTTGTTCAGTTTAAGACTGATCCTCGAGTCAATGATATTTGTTTGTTATAAAGTTTTAGTCTCTAAAGGAATATATCTTCAGCCGACATAAACATATGTTTTTCTGTACTTTGTAAATATGTTTTGATATTTGTTCGTCTTTGCTTTCCAAGCAATTAATGTAGCATATCATCCATATAATTTCCTCGTATTATTTGCTAATGACTTTATTTGCAAATTGTGCTTTATTCTATACTTTCTAATCAAATTTAGTAGAAAGTATTGGGGGAAAAGGTAAAGAGGAGTATCTTTGTTATGGTCTCTTGCGTTTTGGTTAGGCAAAGTGTTAGTTTTTGCCCTTTATATAAATCTCATTAATTAACTGAAAGTTGTTTGTTCGAATCATTCAAAAAGAAATATTACCTGAGAAAATATTATTATTTGTGTCGGTTCTTTTTGTTTTGTTAGCCGATGTTTGTAGTATGAATTTTTTTTAATGTACATAAAAAGCATCCAATGTTTGAAGTTTTGGTAAGATATATTTGTTGTTAGTTACCCATTTCCTCAAACTCCCGTTATTTCCTAAATTTATCTTGCATTTGTGTGTTAAATAAGATCTTTAAGGGTTGTTCTTCGTTGAGCCTCAGGCAAGGCTATCTATTATATATCCCAAACTTTATCCTAAGATCGTGTCCTCGTTGTATCGTGTCACATCTTAAAATAATTTGATCTTCGCCACGATCCAATTAGCTTCTCGGGCAAAACATCACATTCTTATAAGTAGTATAACATATAGTTTGAAAATAAGAAAAAGCTAAATGCATATCGTTGAAAACTGAAAAGTAGAAACTACTATATGAAAACAGTGTTTTAGAACGGAATTAGAAAGACGAAGATTAAAATCGGATCGTTTTATTGAATAATCATAAAATATAGTGTGATTACCAAAATCTTCTTATCTTTGGTCCATTTGTTTGTCGAATTTTAATGTTGTTGTTTTTAGTCCTATCAGAAATGGAACAACCTGTTTTTCGTGGTCGCAACTCACGATCAGGTAAGAAGATATTTTCTACCATACGGAATTCAAATGTTCTAAAATATCGATTTAAAATGTTCAAAAAACATCGTCGACAACAAAAATACGAGAAAAAAAGCTTTTTTTAGTGTGAACTACATGGTCCCCAAAAATGTGTGGGTGGATGTGTTTAGTAATATCACATCCCACCTATAATGTTTTCCAGATTACGAAATCAACCCCAGATTTTTCTCTTTCGTCCAAAGCAGTACTAATGACAACGATGCGATTAAGAATATAATATTATACGGACAATGAAGTAATATCTGGATATAGAAAAAGTTGTTAGGACAAGGGGTACTAAGGAAATTAGGTGTATATATGACTATATGTCATGAAGAAGAAAAAGAGAAAGAAAAACTTAAACGTTAAGAAGATATCGTGAAAACAGGTGAATAGATCAGAATTTTTACTACTAGTAAAACATAATATCTGAATTTTCTTTGGCTTTGACTAATAATATTTTTATTTGGCAAACCACGCGAAAATGTCTTACACCAATGCCCCCTAAATCAAACTTCACCAGTTTTGTGTATAAGAGGTTTTTTTTTTTTTTTTTTATTATAATCAATATTTTAGTTCTTAATTTAAAGTTTCTTGCATAGTTTAACATATGACTTCGTGGTGGAACTAATATTGATTCTCTTCTTCCTGCTATAGATTTATGCCGACATGAATATAATCCTTTAATAGCTTTCATTCTGTTCTTTTATGACCAATAAGGAACATTGCCGTTGACAAGAAGAAAGACACATAAAAGAAATAATCAGCATTCATAACTTGAACCAAAAAACAAGTAAAAAAACAACATTCATAAGTCATAACATGATAAATACATTTTTGTAAACAAAAAACATGATAAAGACACTGTACTTAAGTGTCTCATTTTTCTCCTTAGCATCCTCCCCTTGTGATCATTTCTTGAAATTTGAAAGTTTAAAACACAAATCTCTTGGTTTTTTCTAGAAAAATCATGCAAACAAGTTTAAGTGGAAGACAAAAGATAAATGTTTTTTTGTCCCATTCGATATTTTCAAAACTAAGAAACAGTAGTTTGTTTTTGTTCACTAGATACAAAAACATAACAGATTTAACTTTTTAATTACCAACAAAATTTGGTCGACCAAAGAGAAAAATTAGCGGCGTAATTCGCAGTCGGCTTGTCAACTGACACGTCAACAATCGTCTTTCATAAACCGACACGTCATCAATAAGAACAAAAGAGCGTCACACGTAAGAACGTTTTTAAAAAATTTATTAATAGAAGAACAAAGAAACCTCGCTGTCTGCCCACGTGGCGACATAAGAATTCACGATTAATTTTTTTGGCCTTTTTCCTAAGTTTTATCGCCTGTCTTTGCTCAGTTTTGTTATCTTGTATACATAGGGAATCATTATATTACACACTCAATTATTATTGTTTGTTAACTAATACCGACTATTATTCTAATTAAAAAAGTATGAGACTTTCTATCGCAAATCTAATATTCCCTCCGTTTTTTTAAGATGAATTTTCTAGAGTTTTCACACATATTAAGAAAAAATTGATTTTCAATCATTAATGTATAGATTTTGGTAATAAAACAACTTTCTATAAACTTAGACCAATAAAAATCTAACAAATTCAATTATTGTTTCTTGAAAACTGAAAAAATAATTTAAAAAGCTAAAAATTTTATCTTTGTGAAACAACAAAAAATGTCCAAAAAATTCATCTTAAAAAAATGGAGGGAGTATAATCTAATCTAACACTTTACAGGTGCTCATATAGAGTGTGGGTCTCGGAGCTTTATAGAACTCTCTACGCGTATTAAAAAGGACTCCGTAAGATCTTATTCTATATGATAAGATAATGAGAGTAATTTACTATTAAAAAAATAAATAAGTAGTGTAATTAGTGTAATTATGCTATTAGGGAAATAGTTACGCATACGTGGCATGGACGAGAAGTTGGGTAAGAATCACTTCTTGTTAACGTCTCCAAAATACTCCACAACACAGTTATTCGTCACACTCAACACAAACGAAAGTTCCCACGTTTTTGGAAACACAATTTATCCTATTGTCGCCTACCACTATTTGAACAGTTAATCATCTTAATGGTGAAAGATAAACTGATTAATCTATTTGTTCGATCGTGTTATGAATCTTTGATGATATAAGCAGAAGTATTTTAAAACGTTTTGTTGCATATTTAAGCAGTCGGTGCATCACGACAAAGAGAGTTTGTACTGTGTAGCCACTTTATATATCAAAGCTCAGTAAAAAACGATAGCGGAATATATAAAAACGACCATATTAAACAGAATGTTTTTGACCATAGTTTGGTTATTATATACCCAAGTGTGCCATCATCGGATTGACTCGTAATGTTACCATTACAGGCACTAATTTGAGTTTCGAGTGAGGGAGGGAGTCATCAGTCGTGCATGGTAAAAAATCATCGGCACCACATAGTTTAGAATTATAATTTAGTTATTTATTTTTAAAACATCGATTTTTGGTTTAACAGTAAGGGTCAAACATTATTAACTACTAAAATTCAATTGGGAATAGTCAAAAATGAAGATTCATAGTAAAAAGGGAAAATAATAGATTATATAGTTTAATATATAGTCTTACACAGAAGATTTTGAATATCTTTGACTAATTAGATTTAAAAGGTATTAGTTTTTAAGCTATTGCAAATTGATTAATTAATTTAAAACTACAGTTTTAATCTAACCTTTAAACAAGTGTGGATATTTTTTCTTTCTAACACTCTTTCTGTTCAGTTGTGTTATAAGTTATCTAAAAAAAAAATCCTTTAAAATTTTAGAATATCTAATCAATTTGATTTAATATAGCCCTATGTAAAACTAATATTTTTTAAAAACCATGTAATTTAGATTAATTGGATTATTAGGATATAGTTGACACAAATTCTAGCTATTATAATCTACCAGTTTTTTGTCATCAAAATTTATCAGTTTTTTAGATTAACACAAGATTATGTTCACCATGTATTGGTTTCTTAATAAAAAAAACATATGACAAAAATAAAATAAAATTAACACATGTTTGTCTTAATAAATGAACTTATATTGTCAACCACTGGTAAATTATTTTTGTCAATCTTATCTTTGTCAGAGAAATTTGGTTTAATTAATTAAAGGAATATAATTCTAGATATTTTAACTTTTTACTGTTTCTTTTTCTTTTTATTCAACAAAAATAGAGATTTTTTACTTCGTAGCAAATACAACCATAACGGCCCAAGGGCTTCTCTTATTTAGCGCAATGTTAGGATTATACTCATAACCTAGATCTATCTATACATACGTCTGTGTGTATCGTTTCCCTACTGTTCTCTCTTTATATCTCAATTTATTCTTTTCCTTGCGCCTTTTCCAAGTCCCTTCTCCACTGAGAAAGTTGAAACCGGCGAGAGCAAGTAACGTTTTCCGGCGAACTAACCGGAGTTTTCTCTCCAGGTAAAAAAATCGAGCTCTTCTCTTTCTCGATATTCGCTTGACCGACCGAGCTAGGGAATTGCGCTTCGGATTTCGAAAAAAAAGCTTGATTAAGTAAATAATTTACTCTTAATAATATTTTAATTATTTTCGGTTTTAAAATTAAGATTTGCAGTTTTTGGTCGATTTGTCTCCTTTGTTCTTCTCCTTCTTCTTCTCTAGTCTTACTTGTTTTGAAAATTTGTTGACTATTGGAGTAACCGTTTCAGTGCGTTTTCTTCGTGTGGGTGAGACCTCGTTTCTCATCGATTTTGGTTTAATATTTGTTCGATTTTTCATGATATTGTTGTGAA